GTCTGATCATGCAACCTGATCTTGTAGGATTCCATAAATGACATAGTAGTATAAAAATGAAAAAAAAAGTTAAGGTTAGAAGCTTCTCCAGCATTTAGCTGATCTGTGAAAAATCGAAGAGGTTTAAGAATCACATAATCGAAAAAGCACGTTATCGAGTGTCTTGCAGTTACATACGTCAAAAGTTGGGCAGAGACTAGACATGGAAAGCTAAATTACAAAGAATATGACCTTGTTTTAAACCATTTGTGGTAATGGCTGCAAGCTCGTTTACATGTAAATCAGGCCGGCTTTCACAATAATCTCACACAAAACACTTGCTAAAATCGAGCCACTTGATTTTAGTCAAGCATATCACCTAACTAACTTAAAGCGTCTAGATTTGCAGTAATAGTTTGCAAAGCGACATGGATGACATATTACAAAAGTTTTATGCTTTGGAGAATTAGCTTTCATTGTTTGATAGTATCCCAAGGAAAATAAATTTATTTTATGTCGAAATGTTATGTTTTAATTAGTTAGCTATTCAAGTTTGATTAGTTTTATTTAGAGAAATTGATTGTTCTAGGTGAAATGATGTATAAAGAGTAACAAAAATTTATTGATTGGCTTCAGGAACGTTAGATAAAATAAGGTCAATTCTGAAATGATATATTGTTCTACTCTATTCCCCCTCATTTTTCTTCTAATTGTGGCTTGTTTTAGTTGCAATATGAAAACCTTGAATTCGTTTCTGCCTCCCTCTTCTGATTCTCCCTTACCCATTTCATGTTGAATTAGATCATGACTTTGTAAGTAAAGCATGCATGTATTTGTTAGGGAACAACAGTGACAAAAGTGAAAATGGCTCAAAAGGAGGCCCAAGGGGTTGCCGAGAAGAGGAAAGGAAGAATGGGAACTGGGAGTGTAATTGGGTCCAGTGCCGCTGCTTGTGTATGTGCTTTTCTCGCAATATATGGAGTTGGCGAGGAGGCATTTACACGACTTTGGCGACTTTGACTCGTATATAAATCAAAATACAATTACATGCCCCCTAATCACATGTACCATACTCTGCAACAACGCCGGAAGAACTCCCTTACTGAAGTCGATAGATGCACTGGTACAATTCTTTTAACCTGAAAAGGTGAGTAATAGAGTGAGTTTCGAAAAGCTCAGTAATACAAAACTACCAGATGATGCTGAAAAACGTGCAGATACTAATAAACATATTTTCCTTATTGGTTCAGATATTTACAGATCTTTATGTTGAGCTGAGGTCCATTGATATCGCATGTAGAACAAATAGTATTCATTTCAGATGGAAATATTTTGAATGTCTAGGTTCAGGAGATCAGAACAGGTTTTCTAGTGTGTTCCCATAAAACCAGTAAAAAGATACAGATCTTTTAAAACATATATATATACCCCCATCCAACAAGTCCAAATTGTGTAGGTTCCCCAGAACCATACACCCACCATCAAGTCCAGTAGGCTCTGAGCACACAGCCGAGGAATCGGTAAATAAGGCCCTGAGCACACAACCGAGGAGCCTCCAGGTATACTTCCTCCAACATTACCCCCAAGTAAAATATGTCCGTCCGTAAACGGATATATCAAAAATCAAAACATAAATCAGGTCAAGTATCAGATCAGAATCTATGTCAAATATCATATCAGAATCCATGTCAAGTATCAGATCAGAATTCAAATCGAAAATCAGATAAAATATTCATGTGAGTAGGGAACACACCAGAATTTATAGATAGTATTCAAAGATATTGGATAATCTTAACAAGTAGAGGAATACGGATCTTCAGTATACCGATAGAATATCGGAATTCAGAATCACTATTGTAAGAGTTCAATGACTGACAGAATCATCAGTTATTCAGAATGTGACTTGAGCTGATAAGGAAGAAATGAAGGTTCGGGACATTTATATTCTATGTCGATTGATCGGATTATCAGACAACTCTTACATGAATAGTTCCCAGAACTAATGCCTGTCGATTGGTCAATTCATTGTTCTTCCAGGGTATTTACTCTTTAATACCACAATTCTTGTCCATAGACCATTTTCGGAATCATCGTTGAATAGATCTTCCAATGTCTTTATTTCATTTCCACACTTCCACAATATCATGAAATGCTGACGTACTTGATTAATTTGTTCATAACCCATTGTAATTGTACACTACGTAAACTCATCAGAGTTTCCAGACTTATCCAAATCACTTACTAAATCCTCAGTCATTGAGGTTACCTATTTCATTTAGCAGTCATCTCAATTCCAGTTACTTCAGGATTTTCCAGAGTAATTCAAACGTTCCTGAATTTCAGATACATGTTGTACTTTCATTCCATTCAATTTGGTCTTCGTGGTTGATTGTCGAACAAACGTCCAATTCTTAGTACTGAATACAATCTAGAGCTGAGCTGAATACTTCCAAAATTTATCATCGAGCCAAACTTGAGAAGGCGAACACATGTTCCAGTAATATCTATGTCATTCAGGTATTGACATAGTTTTAGGGTTGATATACTCACTTAAATTATTTTCCATTACCTTTAAAGGTAGTCCAATACCTATGCTTACTTGGATTCCTTAATTAATCCAAGACATTTACTTAGTTTAGACCATAAGGTTATTTTGTAAATTTTGGTATTCAGTTTTATTCCATTTATTTCAGAGCTCGAGGATATCCAATCATTTCTAAGCTTGGTGATATTCTTGGGTCATTTCCATTACAGGGGTATTTTGGTTATTTTACAGATCTACAGTATTTCAATCTTTTCCTTCCATCCGGTCATATTATTTAATTCAATCTTATCATTTACTTCAGCCCTTTCGAATAATTCTGACAGCAGAATACCCCCGATAAATTACTCTTCAAGTATTTACGCATTATTCGAATATTTTCGAGTCAAGTGTCTTCTCAGATTTTACAAACGGAATATCATGAATTTTTCTGTACAAAGACAGGATCTTAACAATTAAATTCGTACTTAATCGAGTTAAGTACAAATCCTCAAAGTACTTTCTCATTCAGGGTCAATTCAGACTATTTTATTTCTCAAGGGTATTTTCGTAATTTCTTAACCATATAATTTCGATATTAGCTCTTAACGAAAATAATATAATATAGAGATTCTATGATTAATTGCTTCCTCGAACATTCTTTGATCTTGAAATGATTCCTTAAAAGACTTCTAGTATCTAGCATAAACCTTCTTGGGGTTAAAAACCGGGTATCCATAATTTCCAAGTAAAACTAACATTTCTTATGCACATCAATAGTTTTAGCAGATCAATAATTCTTTTCAGATTTATTAATCCACTTCCAGAGACAATTCTTGTCATTTTCCAACATAAGTGTAATTTCGTAATTTTACCTAATCGAAATATTCTCATAATTTATCATCTAAGTACCTTTAATGAGATAAATTATAATCTACAATCCATGGTTGATTCTTTTATCACTTAATTCCAGAACTTGTAATTTAATTCCAACTGTCCTCCAATTTCTTATAATAGTCATCTGAGCCATATTCAGTTATCTACTTTCTACCGTATTCGTATCTAGTGTAGATCTTCATTAATTACACATGAGACCAAATATTTCCATTCATGCATTTACCAATACCAACATGTTCTATAAAGCATAAAGAGGTAGTAAAGTATTACCTCGATTTCCGTGCAATACTGATCGACCATAAAAATTTCATTCGAACGCCTTTGATCTTCAATTCAACTTACAATAATTCCTCAGATACATATCAACATAAATTATATCAGAAACGGAGCTTAATTGCGATAAACGGATCGAATCGGGTGATAAATCAGTGAAAGACGGCTTACCGGGTTCGAATTTGGCGAAACGGACTTCGGATTCGGATTCAGGACGTCGAAAGCATAAAATATGACTTTTTGGAAATTTGGAATTTTCAGTCAAAATCAAAGTCAACGGGTTTGACCGGTAATTTCGAGGCCTTCGGGTTCAAATTTCGAAAAATGGACAGCATAATCGGATTTGGAACGTCAAAAAATGTCAGGATAGGTATACTCGGTCGAAGTCAAAGGTCGTTTAATGCCCGGTCAAAGCTGGTTAAAGTTTTGGTCAACGGTGGTCAACGGTCAACAGGTCGAGTTAACGGGTCGGGTCGGGTCGGGTCAACTGGTCGGGTAAACGGGTCGGGTCGGGTTATGACCGGTCAACTATGCACCAAAACCGGTCACTTTTATCTTCCCCACGCGCAGTGGTGGCGCGTGAACAGTGCCCTGATATCGAAAAAATTCCTAAAAATTATTTTAAGCGATTTCGAGATACTTACAAAGCTGGGTTCAAAATTTTGAACGGCGGACTCGATTTCAACGAATCTGAAACTTTGACCGCTTCACCTCCTCACGCGCCACCGTCGACGGAGACCAAGGATGACACCGGCGAACTCGGAACGATGCAACGAACATGATGGTGCGGGAGGTTTCGTAAACGGATGACCCGATCGTCGTGAATCGATGAAAAACCAACTAAAACCGAGTTATTACCGACGATACTTCCGACTGAAATTAATGACGAACGGCGATGATTCATGACGAAAGGTTTGAGGGGTTTTGTTCCTCGGTTGACAACGAACACGATGGTGGTTTCGGCTCGTCGATCGGAGGTCGGACGGCGAGTAGATCGGAGTTGGAAGGAGGGTTGTTGGAGAAGGGAAATCTGAAAAATTTGAGAACCTGTGCATTGGGGAGAGATTTATAATTCAACATATATAAAAATTGGTTAAATCATGAGTTTAGCCACTGAATTTCCTGCACTTTATAAAATGGTCTGCCAACTTAAAACTTTACAATTTAACCCACTGTTTCTTTCAAAATACCAAATTAAATCCACCACTTTATAATTTCTTAAATTTAGCCCCTAAATTGGGGTGTTACACTTATGGTCTATAATTGAGTGCTATTATTGTCATTTATGCTGAGCTGGTTACAAAAGTGTGTGATGTGCCAAAATGAACAGGTATCTGGTCACAGACTTTCGAATTGTTCTTAGGGGAACAGAAGGAGCTGTCAGTCTTGAAGGAACAGTTGCTGGATTTCTAGCATCTGTACTGCTTGCCTGTATCGGTTGTCTACTGGGGGAGGTAGTACTTTCTATTTACTATGAATAATTTATTCTGTTATTCAAGGATGCCTGTTATTTTAAATTACAAATTACAAGCATCATTTAGTGATCATTACAAGATGTTTTCACCTCAAAAAACGTGGGAATTTATTGCTTTCCTGTAACGAAAGACTAGTTGGTAGTGATGTTGAGAACAATACTGGTGGGATGTCATGCTGGAATTGTTTTATGGATATAATTGGTGAATGTGTATTTTAGATGGTCAAAGATGATTTTCTGTGGGAACTCTTAGCAAAAATGGCAGATCTTGATATATTTATAAATGGGATTTGACATTTTAGTTTTAGGTTTGTACTTGGTTCCTTTTGAGCATTATTTTTCCAGGAGCTTAAATTTCAATTAATGCTGTTCTGGTATTACAATTTGGTGATGTGGATAGCGTTTCTTTGGATGTGAGTGGATGTAACCCCCCAGACTGATGCAGGTAGCCCGATCCGATCCGGGAAGTCACATTAGGGCCACCGGAGCGACCCACTGTAAAAATAGCGGAAAATTTAAATCTTTTTATCAAAACATGTAAACTTATAAAATCATTTGTCACTTTTTAAAAATATAATTATTTATATGATTAGGGAACACACCAGAGTTTACAGATATTATTCAGAGGTATTGGATAATCTTAACAGGTAGAGAAACATGAATCTTCAATATACCGATAGGATATCGGAATTTAGAATCACTATTGGAAGAGTTCATTAACTGACAGAATCATCAGTTATTCAGAATGTGAATTATCAGGATCATATCTTATTCAGACAATTTTTAGAAGCTGTAAGTAATCAGAAGGGTATTCAGAATCCTTTGCATCAATGTTAATTGATCGGATAATCGAACAACTTGAGAACGAAGATTCAGAACCTTAACAATCTATGTCGACTGGTCAATTCATTTTCCTTCCAGGGTATTTAGTCTTTAATACCACAAATTCTTGTTCATATATAAAAATTAACGTTGAATAAATCTTCCAATGTCTTTATTTCATGTTCATGCTTTCACCATATCATGAAATACTGACGTACTTGATTTTGTAATTCATAATCCATAAGAACATTACATCATATATGTTCATTAACATTTCCAGATTCATCCAACTCACTTATTCAATCCTCAGTCCTTGTGGTTACTTAATTTATTTAGCATGAAAGTCCATTCCAGATACTTCGGGATTTTCCAGAGTAATTCAAGCGTTCCTGATTTTCAGACACATGTTGCACTTTCGTTCCATTCAATTTGGTATTTGTGGTTGATTTGTCGAACAAACGTCCAATTCTTAGTACTGAATGCGATCCAGAGTTGAACTAAGTTGAATACTTCCAAAATTTATCATCGAGTCAAACTTAGGAAGACGAACACGCATTCCAGTAATATCTATGCCATTCAGGTATTGACATAGCTTTAGGGTTGATCTACTCACTTAAATTGTGTTCCATTACTTTTAAAGGTAGGCCAATACCTATGCTTATTTGGATTCCTTAATTAATCCAATGCATTTGCTTGGTATAGGTCATGAGGGTATTTTGGTAATTTTGGTGTTCAGTTTTATTCCATTCATTTCAGAGCTCGAGGATATCAAATCATTCCTGAGCTTGGTGATATTCTTGGGTCATTTCCATTACAGGGGTATTTTGGTCATTTTACAGATCTACGGTATTTCAATCTTTTCCTGCCATCCGGTCTTATTATTTAATTCAATATTATCATTTACTTCAGTCCTTTCGAACAATTCTGACAGCAGAATACCCCCGATAAATTACTCTTCAAGTATTTTACTCATTATTCGAATATTTTCAGGTCAAGTGTCTTCTCAGATTTTACAAACGGAATATCATGAATTTTTTTGTACAAAGACAGGATCTTAACAATTAAATTCGTACTTAATCGAGTTAAGTACAAATCCTCAAAGTACTTTCTCATTCAGGGTCAATTCAGACTATTTTATCTCTCAAGGGTATTTTCGTAATTTCTTAACCAGATAATTTCGATATTAGCTCTTAACGAAAATAATTATAATTTAAATATCTTATGGTTAATTGCTTTCTTCAACATTCTCTAATCTTGAAAAGATTCCTTAACAGACTTCTAGCATCTTGCTCAACTCCTCTTGGGTTAAAAACCGGTTATCCAAAATATCCAAGGAAAACTAACATTTCTTATGCACCTCAATATTTTTTTATCAGATCAATATGTCTGTAAAAACCTCTTATCCAACTTCCATATTCCAATCTTGTTTTTTTATAACACAAGGGTATTTTCGTAATTTTACCCTACCGGAGTATTCTCATAATTTCTCATCCAAAACCTTTAACATTTAACCTTTGATGAAATAAATTATAAGTTACAGATCCAGGTTGATTTCTTTGTCACTAAGCACATAACTTGTAATTTAATTATAACAATCCCTTAATTTCTTATAAAAAGTCATCTGAACCATAATCAATTACTGAACCTTTTTACTGTATTCAGATCGAGTGTAGAACTTCATTAATTACACATATGAGACCAAACATTTCAATTCATGCATTTACCAATACCAACATGTTCTATAAAGCATAAAGAGGTAGTAAAGTATTACCTCGATTTTCGTGCAATACTGATCGACCATAAAAATTCCATTCGAACGCCTTTGATCTTCAATTCAATTTCCAATAATTCCTCAGATACATATCAACATAAATTATATCAGAAACGGAGCTTAATTGCGATAAACGGATCGAATCAGGTGATAAATCAGTGAAAGACGGGCTTACCGGGTTCGAATTTGGCGAAACGGACTTCGGATTCGGATTCAGGACGTCGAAAGCATAAAATATGACTTTTCAAAAATTTGGAATTTTCGGTCAAAATCAAAGTCAACGGGTTTGACCGGCAATTTTGAGGTCTTCGGATTCGAATTTCGAAAAACGGACAGCGGAATCGGATTTGGAACGTCGAAAAATGTCAGGATAGGTATACTCGGTCAAAGTCAAAGGTCGTTTAATGCTCGGTCAAAGCCAGTCAAAGTTTTGGTCAACAATGGTCAACGCCGGTCAACGGTCAACGGGTCAACGGTCAACGGTCAACGGGTTGGGTCGGGTCAACGGGTCGGGTTTTGACCGGTCAAAACAATTCCAAAACCGATCAAACCGGTCACTTTTTCCTTCGCACGTGGGGGCGCGTGAACAGTGCTAAAATCCCGGAAAAATTTCTAAAAATTATTTTGAGCGATTTCGAGATACTTACAAAGCTCGGTTCACAATTTTGAACGGCGGAGAGCTCGATTTCAACAAATCGGAAACTTTGACCGCTTCACCTCCTTACGCTCCGCCATCGACGGAGACCAAGGATGACACTGGCGAACTCGGACCGATGCAACGAACACGATGGTGCGGGAGGTGTCGTAAACGGATGACCCGATCGTCGTGAATCGATGAAAAACCAACTAAAACCGAGTTATTACCGACGATACTTCCGACTAAAATTAACGACGAACGACGATGATTCACGATGAAAGGTTTGAGGGGTTTTGTTCCTCGGTTGACAACGAACACGATGGTGGTTTCAGCTCGTCGTTTGGAGGTTGGACGGCGAGTAGATCGGAGTTAGAAGTTGGGATGTTGGAGAGGGAAAACTGGAAAATTTGAGAACCTGCGCACGGGGGAGAGATTTATAATACAACATATATAAAAATTGGTTAAATCATGGGTTTAGCCACTGAATTTCCTGCACTTTATAAAACGGTCTGCCAATTTTAACATTTTACAATTTAATCCCCAATTTCTTCTAAAAATACCAATTAAATTCACCACTTTATAATTTCTTAAATTTAGCCCCTAAATTGGGGTGTTACAGTGGATGAGATTGTCACTCTAGCATAGGTACATCCCTAGGAAGGGTTTCCCAAATACTTTACGAATCCTTGATATTGTTCTTGTTGTTCATAATGTTGTTCATGACACAACCTTGATACGCTTTCAAATCGAGAAATGACATATCGACTCTCGACAATGATGATTATTTGAATCTATATAAATGTTCTAAACCACTTCTTTCTTCTTTCTTTTTTCTGCTTGCTAGTAGATAAGTGTACCTGAGGTGCTGATATGCGTAATAGCTTCTCAAATTGCTAATCTTGGTGAGAGTATAATCGGTTCTTCATTCCAAGGGAAAGAAGGATTTCGTTGGGTAAGGAATTGTTTGAATAATAAGATAGTTCCATGTCCTAAGCATCTGTCATTTGTTTATCATTATAAAGCTGAAACTCTGATTCTTTTATGGCTTTTCTTCTTGCAGCTGAACAATGATGCTGTTAATGTCATCAACATATCCATAGGCTGCATTTTGGCAGTCTTAATGCAACAAATCCTCCAGAACTGGCAAATGTAAGTTCACCCGATCGTCGCTTCCGCGATCTCAAGTAACACGAAAGAATGAGAAAAGGGAGGATATATAAAATGATGGGAAGAGAAAGCCTTCGATACCATGGAAGAGAGGGGGACAGAAACTGCAATTAGGGCAATGATTTGGCTAACCTTGAAAGATTGTCAATGATGTGGAACATCACTACCATAACCAAATTGTATCAGAAAATATATCTTTTACAGTTTTGGTTTAGGGTATTCTAAGATGTTTTCCTTCCATCATTTCCATAACCAAAAGCATTGGATTTTCTTCTTTTTTCTTACCAATGGAAATGGTCATTAAAATCTTAATTATTTTAGGTGTTGATTGTTTACATGTATATCATTGTTGACGTGATATTATTTTCTTATATGTTATATTAGCAAATAATTTTAAAATTATAAAAATATTAAAAAAATGAATTTATAATAAAATAATGTAATACAATACAAGTCATTTTGTCAATAAAATAATTTCATGTTAAAATTAAATAAATAAAAAGTGATTTTAAGATATTATATATTTAAAGAAAACTTTCAATCATTTGATATTGAACCGTTGTACCCTTGGTAGTCCTAGTGCTTATACTCTGGACCTCAAATAATAATAACAATTTCTTTACCACTTAAGTCATTGGAGTTTGTGCAATATTAAAAAATTAAATTTATTTTTATATTAATTAATTGAAATATTAATAAATTGTTATCTAAAAATGTGCGACTTCAAAAATTAATGGTAAAAACATTTATAATTACATTTACATAATCAGTCGAGTTAAATTATATTTTTATTCTTATTTTTTATATATATTATGAATCCTAACCTAATTTAAAAAATCTCCACATCGTCAGGCGTTTTACTCAAAAATCACCTGACAGACACCGTTTCAGAAAATTTTAACGATCTAGCAAAATTTGCAGAAAAGCGTGGATGATGATCATCATCCGCGCCTTATCCTGACATGGCGCCAACTCAGATAAAGATCGGACGATGATCTGCGCCTTTCTGGGATGGGTGCTAGATCTATAAAATTTTCTGAAAAAGTGACTGATAAGTAATTAATTTTTGTTAGAGTGATTTTTGTGTACAAATGCCACGAAATACTAAAGAGGTAACTGTGTTTTGTTTGTTGGAAAAAAGATAAAATTTAATAGTAAATCGTTTTCATTTTCTATCTTCTGAAAAATTAAATCATATGACCATAAAGAAAATCACGTGCCTTTCACACATTATTTTCTTCAAATATTTTTTTTTCTTTTTTTAATAAAATTTTTCATTAAATCTTGGAAATAAAATAATAAAATACATTTTTTTCCTTCAATAATAATAATAATAATAATGAAAAATAATGCCAATAAACTTTGTCTCGTCTCTTGAATTTGTCATTATTTAACCAACATTTTTGTGTTGAATACGTTTTTAAATTTAATTAAGCTTCAAAGTTATTCTTAGAATATATATATATATATATATATATATATATATATATATATATATATATATCGAGTACAAAATTATATTGAATCTATATTTTAAAATGTTTTTTTTTTTGAAAAATCAATGATGAAAAGCTCAATTATCTAGGTCAACGTCGGTCTTGTCTAGGGTAAACATCACTAGTTTATTGGTTAAATAATGACAAAATCAAGAAATAAGACAAAGTTTATTGGCACTATTTTTCATTATTATTATTAGGGTAAAGTATAGTAATGGTCACTGAACATTTTTGAAGCTTGCATTTAGGTCCCTAACTTTTAAAACTTGCAATACAGTCCCCTAACATTTATTCCGTTTGCAATATGGTCCCCCAACTTAAACCACCGTTAGAAATTAGGGTAAATTATATAAAAGGTTATTGAACTTTTCAGACACTTGAATTTAGGTCTCCCAACTTTTAAAACTTGCAAAACAGTCCTCAATTTCATTATAAACCCCAATTTCCAAAGTAATTCAATTTCATTCTAAAGCCTAAATTCCAAAATAATTCAATTAAATTCAATTATGTCAGATTTATTATTATTTAATTTCATCTTATTTCATGTGATACGTATTTTTTATATATAAATATAATAGTATAATTCTTATCTGTTGAAGAAATTTTTTAATTAAAAAAAGTAGTTAGGATATAGAAGATGTTGAAAATAATTCGAATTTTAAATTTATAAAATGTTATTTTGACGTATAAATAAAAGTGTAAACTACTAGGTTGACAACTTAACTATCTAGCCCTTTTTACTTTTGTCATCGATCTTTTAAATTTATCAATCATACAACATAATTATTTAACTGTTTCAACTAAGCCACTAGTCGCTACCAATTGATACAAATGATGAAGTGGCAGTTAAAAGGAATTGACATTATTATACATTCAGTATTTATTATTTATATAATCAATTTGGTCCTAAATTAAATAGAATTTAATAAATTAATCATTTAATTAGGATATGACATGTGTTAGCACATGACCATGACACGTGTCATTGGTGACACCTGTCACCACCTAATTATTTATATATGCTATCAATTTGGTCCTAAATTAAATAAAATTTAATAAATTAATCATTTAACCAGGATCTGACATGTGTTAACACATGATCATGATATATGTTATTGGTGACACATGTCACCACCTAATTAGAAGAAAATTAAGTTACAAAGAAGTAAAATTTGGGTCTTGGGCAAACTCACACCTGAGTCACGCAAATGAAAGATACAGGGTGGAGCCACTAAGCTAACACCATCGTTTGTGTTAAGAGATATACAATAATACATATACTAATAGTATGATCAATGCCAGAAAAAAAAGAATATAATGGAAAATGGAAATAATGAGATTTGAACTTCGGCAAAAAATTTGAAAGCAATAAATGATGGGGAAATATTATATTTTTTTACAATAAAAAATATTATATTTGATAAATTGTTTGATAGATTTAATATATTTTTTAAATATTAGTTGATACAATATTTTAAAAGAATAAATTTAAGATTTATATATTTTTAAACTAAATTTAATAATTATATTTTTCATATTTATAATTCATGATTATATATATAATCTTAAGTTGAGTATTTCTAATATAATTAATAATTTTAATTTCTTATTAAAAATAAAATATTCAAAAAATATAAATGATTCATAAATTAATATATGAATATATATTTTTTATTTATACATCTAAATATAAATATACATTATATAAATATATTTTTATTCGTATATTGAAATATTTTGATTAAAATATAAACATATTTTAAATACTAGTTTATACAAGAAAAATAAAATATATCAAAAATATAAATGATTCATACATTTAAATATAAATTGAATCATTTATATTTTCTATACATCTATATTTAATAAGAAAATAAAATTATTGGGGGGACTGTTTTGCAAGTTTTAAAAGTTGGAGACCTAAATTCAAGTGCCTGAAAAGTTTAATGACCGTTTATATAATTTACCCTAATTTTCTAACAGTGATTTAAGTTGGGGACCATATTGCAAACGGAATAAATGTTGGGGGACTGTATTGCAAGTTTTAAAAGTTGGGGGACCTAAATGCAAGCTTCAGAAATGTTCAGTGACCATTACTATACTTTACCCTTATTATTATTGAAGAAAAAAATGCATTTTATTATCTTATTTCTAGGATTTGATGAAAAATTTTATTAAAAAAAGAAAAAAATAATTATTTGAAGAAAATGATAAGTGTGAAAGACACGTGATTTTTTTTATGGTCATATGACTTAATTTTTCTGAAGATATGAAATGAAAATGATTGGATAATTAAATTTTATATTTTTTTTCCAAAAAAAAAACAAAACACAGCTACTTTAATATTTTGTGGCGTTATGAGGATAAAATTGACAACACTGAATTCTCAATTTTCTTCTCTATGAAAGAGGCATTGGAAGCAGGTTATTTGGTCAATCAGTTGCATCAATTTCCAAAGGACCGATGGCTTGGAATGTGGAACCGGCTCAAGAATGTTTCCATCATTTCCAGTTCCAGACAGTACTTCCCTCCAAAGAAGGAAGATGCCGGCAATATGTTACGAAGACAGCTAAAACACAATCTTCCAACTTGCTGTACACAGAAATAGTCAAGTAGAAGAAGGTTGAGAGTTCCAGATTGGTGGCAATCGAGGCGATGATAACACAACCTTGTTCTACACTGTACAGTGTACGTACATCACCATATTTTTCTCATTCATGACGACATCTGATGGCGAGTAACGAGCAAAGGTGCTTGGAAATCACAAGCCAACACATCATGGGGAAGCTTTATCCAGCTTGTGACTTACGATGCGTAGTTTCGAACTTTATTTTCTCTCTAAAGAGACAGTCAGTTAAGATTTAGTCTCGTTTAATATTGTTTTTCACCATTTGATTGTGCTGATGTGGATTTAAAGTTTAGGGTTTAGAGTTTTCCCGTGTGGATTATTATTATTATTATTATTATTATTATTATTATTATTATTATATAAAATAGAATTATAGATATAGATAGATATACGGGATGGTTTTTTTTTCCCAGGTTACAAGTATGCGACGGTTTAGAAACTGAAATTCTCAGTTAACTCTAAAATCAGGGAAGAAAATAAACTTTAGTTGAATACTCAAGATCACAACTCAAGCAACCCTACTTAATTTGCAGTAAGTTCTTCTGAGTCTGAATCCTCAACTCTTGAGACCCTTTTCTCAAAATTGATTTCCTTGCTTAACTAATCGCTTCTCTCTGTTTGTTTCTCTTAGGATGGCCGAAGAACTTGTTTCTGCAATCCTGGAGCTGGTACGTGCAATCAAAGCGGACGAAAGTGTACGCGACTTTGTAGATGTGACAGAGTTTCAGGGTGAGATGGACTCGCTTGTACTTCGTCTGGAAGCTATTCGGTCCAAGATGAATGCATTAAAGGATTGGCCATTGTCCGTTCAGCTGTCGAGGCTTGAGATTGACGGGTATGCACTTGATGATCTATTATACGATATAGAAGACATGTTTAGCGACTTTAACAATCAATTGATGCGAAGTAGATTACTGGTAGAAGCAGTTGAAACTAAGGTTAGTAAAGAAAAAACTGATCCTTCTGATCCGGACATTATAGATTTGGATAATGATCCTTTTGAATCATCCATTTCTAAGTTGGAAGTGGAGTTGATGGATTTGAGATCTAAGCTTTCTCCTGGACCAGAATCTATTTTGCTGGACCTGGAAGTGTCGAAGTTACTTGGTATAGACCAGGTAAAGAAAGATATAATGGATGTAATTTTGGGCGAAAGTAGTAAAGAGAGGAGCGACAAAATCAAAACCATCTCTATTGTTGGCATGGACGGAATGGGGAAATCATCTCTTGCTCAATGCATTTGTGAAGATGAGCAGGTCGTGGCAAGCTTCGACAACATAATTTTGGTGAACGTTTCAGACGATTTCGACTTAGGCAAAATTGGTAGAGCAATCATTCAAGCTCTTGAGGGCTTGAAACATGACTTCTTGTGCATCCTAACATTATTTCCATTGCAAGGTATTTTAGATAGAATTTATCGAAAGATTGTCGACAAGAAAACCCTTCTTGTTTTAGATGGCGTGGGGAGATATGATTATGATGACTGGGGAGTACTTAAATCTGTTTTTCAACATGGCATGCCAGAGAGTAGGATTGTAATTACTACTTGTGAACACAAATTTGCAGTAGAAACGAAATCATCTTATATATTTCATCTGAAAGAGTTGCCTGGAGAATTGTGTTGGATGATACTTCGTGAAGTTGCCTTCAATGGACTGAATGAAGATAGTTAAGAATGTGTAGAAGATATAGGATTGGAAATTGCGAAGAAATGCAAAGGATCACCATTTGCTGCAAAGGTTTTGGGAGGTATCTTGCAGCATAAAATTGAAAAAAGAGAGTGGAACAGTGTTCTGGAAACTATATATGGGAATCTCCTATGATACCCAAGTATATTTTTAAAATACTATGGCTATCTTATTGTGATCTACCTTGGTCAATAAGGCAATGCTTACTGTATTGTGTTATCTTTCCCAAAAACTTTGAAATGTCGAGAACTCTTTTAGTCCAACACTGGATGGCACACGGTTATCTAAACTCATCTGATGATTCAGAAATGGAGCTAAAAGGTGAAGCGTACTTTAAGTGCTTAGTAGCTCATTCATTTTTACAAGATTTTTGCAGGAATGGTGGTATCCATACATGGAAGATGCAGAATATCGTACACGACTTTCTTCGCTTTCTGTTCCAATCTGAACTAATGATGGAGATCCGATCTGTTGAACATATGATGTTGGACTTAACTTATGCTAGGACGTCTAAGGAGGTCAAATCTATAAAACGTGTGATTCCAGATCCAGCTCCAGCTCCAAAGCAGATGAAAACTCTTTCTGATTCTGGAACTTCAATTCTAGCTTCATCTTGTGATCCGCCATTGATTCTAGATTCATCTTGTCCTCCTCTGCCGTCATATTTTCCTATTATTAGCATTCGTCATTTGATGGTGATGATAGCACAGGGAGTTGGTTTCCCTGTGGACATTAGCGGTGCAGAGAAATTGCGGACTCTTGTTGCTGTTAGTCAAGGGTGTTTGATAACCAGTAGAGCATTATCTAACTTATGTAAACAATCCAAACATCTCAGGTTATTGGATTTGAGCTTGTCTAGCGGATGGCTTAATTGTTTTGGACCATGTGTACAAGGTAATGTACTTCGTAAATTTCCCGAGGAAATTTATGAATTAATAAATCTGAAGTTCCTTAGCTTAGCTGGCAGCAAAGAATTGAAGATACTACCAGAAACATTGTGCGACTTATATGATTTGCAATCTTTGGATCTAACTGGATGTAGTAGTCTTACGAAGTTACCAGACGGAATCGGGAAATTGATGAGATTGAGGTATCTTTATACCTGGTATTGCTGTAGTATAACTTTCTATCCAAAAGGGATTGGCTGCTTAACTTATCTGAGGGAATTAACCAATGTCATTGTTAGAGTTGATCAGAATGATGCAAAGGAATTCAGTCTCGGAGATTTTGAAGAGTTGAACCACCTTTGTGGAGATGTTCGTGTGAAACTGGTAGGAAATGCGATCGATGCAGATGAGGCTATCAGAGCCAACCTTTCGAACAAGAAGAGTCTCAGCAATGTTAGAATAAATTTGGATGGAGATATAAAGGAAGACGATGTAATCAAAGCATTAAAGCCGCCTTCGGAGTTGAAGATAGAGTTCATAGGCGGGTGGTTCTAGTTCAGAAAAGAAAGGATGGTACAAGGTAACAGGTAATATCTCGACATCATTCTCTCTTTTGTTGTTTCTTTACCATTTTAATCAACCCCTTTCTTTTTCCTGTGTTGGAGTTGCAGTTCAGTAATTTTCATTTGGAGAATGATGCAGTTGTTATTGTGAAACTCCCAACAGACAGAGGATCCACATTATCCAGTCTTGGGAACATGATTGATAAATTAGCCTTTTGTGTCGAAACTTTCAGTGTGTTTTCTTATGTTCTTCGTTCGGGCAATGAACCCTACTCATTACTTTGCACCTTTTACATTGTGGCTGGATAATACTTCTTATGATGCACTCTTTTTCCATTTTCTCTCAGCAGAAGTGGTACTCTAACGACACACCTTTTTATATAAAAAAAATTAGTAATCAGTACTGCTTAGAGAAGATGTTAGAGTAGGACATGTTTATGCTATCATCATCTAATGAGATGAGATGTTATAAAATCTCAGTGGCTGACGCATGCTCTAAATGAATCACTTCAACGAGCCAAGTAATCCTAATCTTATTATTTCTTAGTGTTGTTTTCATTCACTCTAGGTGTTGTCGTTGGTGTTTTTAGCTGCAAGGAAGATGTTTGGATTTTGATAATTCGCATTTGCTTCATTGCTTGTAGTGTTTTATATTTTCTTCTTTGTGCGTTTAGAAATTATAATTGTTGAATTCTAATAGTTTGCTTGTAGTCCGTCCTGTAAAAGATGACTTATTAGGTGATTTACTGTGTTCCCGATCCATCCTTAGAGATAATTATTTATGTTAATAAATAAAGGGTAAACTACTCGTCATGTTTCCAACTTTCAATTTATTTCTGTTTCGGTCAGTACTAGAAGTTAAGTCTAAAACATTCCCTTGTTGGTTTTTTTATTTCTAACAAAATAACAACGGTAATAGCAGCCCGCTATTCCGCTATATGGCCGCTATTCCGCTATATGGCCTCTATTCCGCTATATGGCCGCTATTTGAATCCATGCACAAAAAAGGTTTCAAACTGAATTTATCAAAAAAACCAAACCGAAAGTTTTAAAATTAAAATTAGGCGGGCCACGTACTGAGTACAGACATTAGAATACTTAGATAAATAAATATTTAAAATAAAATTGAGTCGATGAGAATATGACAAAATTAAAATACATTAGGTTTTGTTTTAATTTTCATCGACTTCTCTGCTGCTCTCTCAGTTGTGTGCATAGAAGAAGGTTCTAGGCAGTTAGGTTGTTACACCCAGAGCCGTTGCCTAGTATCATCTGTAAACTACATGATCTGTTATCATTGGATCTTCACGGGTGCAACGGTCTTAGAAAATTACCAGATGGCATAGGAGAGTTGATCAATTTGAGATTTCTTCGCACTACAAATTACTTCGGACTAAGATCCTATCCGAAGAGCATTGGGAGATTAACGTCTCTGAGGACATTAACGGACATTATTGCAATAGATGATTCTAATAATCCTACAAAGTTCTGCTTGGGAGATCTCAAAAATTTGAACAACCTTCGTGGAAGTCTTCGTCTGAGCTGATAGGAAATACAATAGATGTTCAAGAAGCCAAGACGCCCAAACTCCAAAACAAGACACATCTCCGGGAAATTAAGATCTATTTAGATGGGAGTGTAACCCCTAGACCCAACCTATGCGTTTCGACTAAGTCTGGCGGATTACACGAAATATTCTTAAAGACATTTTCCAAAAATGTTATTCAATAATTTAAATCATATTACAAAATGTCATTTATAAAAGTATAAAATAATTAACGATGAAAACCCAACTCGTAAATATAAAACTAAAAGTGACCAGGGTAAAATAAAACATGTAATAAATCCGGAGAACAATAAATCAAATATCAGTAGAAAAAGCAGTAAATATCATAAAAAAATAAGTACTTCAGAAATAAGACACATGTCACCATAATTAAAAGCACTTCAGAAGATAGAAACATTACAACAAAAATATTTGTACTAAATGTGCCAATCCTCCAAGTGTCTGATACGGAGTGCCTATCCGAGAGTATCTGAAAGGGGTAAAACAGTTTTGAAAAGTGAGCTAGAGGCTCAGTGTGTCCTAACAATGCAAAAATAAAACATATAGTTGTGCTTTTTAAAATCAGTACAGATCACAGACATTAAAATATCATAGGATTTTTTAATTTAAAAACTTTGAATCGTCCTCCAACCGAACGCCATATGCAGTTCCCCATAACTGCATAACCTAAGGGAGTACCTTGGGGCCTGAGAGCTTACCCAAGACAATTCTCGGGGCCACGGAGGCTTACCCAAGAAAAATCTCGGGCCGCAGAGCCTACCCAAGGGTTGCCTTAGGTCCATAAGGAATTATCAGTCGGTGCTGAACCAACCAAGGAATTACCAACAGCGACTGAACCTGCCAGAGTCTTCATACCAGATCCCAGAGTGCCCCGAATAAAACATTTTTCAGATAGTAACCAGTAGTAGCAGTGAATCAGAGTTTAGACAAATCATCAGTCCATTAAAATAGAAACCAGAAATCATAATTCAGGCAATCATGCTTTATATTTCCTTAAATCAGGAATGAGATTTCAAAACATGTAATTTATACAATGTCAAATCAGATCAAAATATTATATTTCAAATCGGAGAAAACATTCATGTGCACATGAGATTTCAAACAGATTTTTAAAACATTTATATTGCACACAAGGAACACACCTCGCAAAACGGGTCAGTCCGGAAGATCTATCGAGCACCAACTTCACTAGGCTCTTCGACTGAACGAGAACCTAAACCATATCATAACAGAGTCATATTCGGAATAATATCCTAAATATAATAACTAATAGGGTTACAAAACTATACAGGTATTCACGGCCTCTCGAGGACGAGAGGAACCGGGTCGAGCAGTGAAACGGTCAGGAGATCTCCGAATACCACTAACATACGATAACCATAATTAGTCTTTGACCCTTCGATTAAATTAACTGAATTAAAACACTTAAATAAATATGCATTTTTTCGGGTTTACGGGAAAATTCGGAGGCTTTCGGGTTTGAATTTGGTAAAACGGACTTCGGATTCGGACTCAGGACATCGAAAAACATAAAATATGACTTTTTGAAAAATTTGACTTTTTCGGGTCAAAGTCAATAGGTCGGGTCAAACAGTTCGGGTCGGGTTGGGTCAAAGTCAACGGGTCGGGTCATGTCAACGGTTCTGGTCGGGTTGGGTCAGCTGGACCGGTTTCCAAAAGAAACCAGAGTGGGGACAAGCCCCACGCGCAAGCGACGGTGCGTGGGGGCGCGTGAGACGGCGACAGGGTCGGGGGTAGACGACCGATTACTCCCGAGCACATCAAACAACTAAAACAACCCATATCAAGTCTTAAATCAACCTATAATCGTCAAAATCAAAAGAAAATGGCAAAGCTCTTACCCTCGCCGGCGATGAGAAAAACGGCGACGGTAGACGGTGGCTTCGGTCGGGTTTTGAACGCACGGCGATGAGGAATCGATATTTAGGGGCGGTGAGGCGAACTATTGAGCACGGTGGTCGGATTTTGTCAAAAATCGACGTGACGGGTTGATGATTTCTCCTTCGGCTATCAACGATCGGTGGTCGAAACAGTGGAATTGAGGGTCGGGTTTACGTCGTTGGAGGATGCCGGTTCGATTTTTGGCGACGGAGCACGATAACGACGACTAATTTGGTGATGAGGAGCGGTGGCTAAGGGTTCCCAAATTTAGGGGGAAATGAGGTTGAATCACGGGGAGGGAGGGGTTTTCTGGTTTAAGGTAAATAAAAACTCGAATATAAAACGAATAATATACATAACTGATTATTTTTAACATAAATAGGGTCTAGGTCGGCTGGTAGGGTCTAGGTTGACTATACCCTAGGTAATGGGTTCAAGCAGGCCAGCCCCTACTCTCTCCCTTTTTTATTTTAACAGACAGACAAAGATGGGTAAATTATGGGGTTGGTCCCTAAATTTTCAAAAATTTCAACTTTAGCACATATATTTTTAAAAATTTGCAGTTTAGTCTGAAAAAAAAACAATTAATTAATTTTAAAGAAATTTTTGGGGTGTGACAGGGAGAATAGATCGTGCTGATGCAACTACAGCACTGAATCCACATCATTCCACAAGCGTTATTTTTTTCAACCACAGCGAGTGGTGAAATGTTCACTCTGTGTTTTTGTGGCTGTATACATATAATAAGGGCAGAAATCTTCTTCCAGTACCAAGTGCTATTTCTCTCTGTGTTAGTAGTATAGGTACTTTTTTCCCCTTCAACTTCAAAGTATCTTCTTAATGTTCTGCCGAAAACATGCAATTCTAAAACAGTTGTAAGTTCAATGATTTTTTGCACGATAGTTGCTAAATTTTCAGTGTTTATATGGGACCGACGAAGGATATGGAACAAGAAGTAAAAACAAAATACAAAAATTTGCAGTACATCATCGATCAAGTTGCATAGTCCATTCCATAACTAAAGATCCAAAATGCTAACAACCATTGAAAGCACACACCGAACTGTACGAGTCAAGTCCGAACTAATTAACATTGGCATTGAAGAACATAGTAAAAAAATTGATTGTCTAACCAACAGAATAGAACTTAGATATTCATTGGTGCCATTCTACCAACTAAATTAACTTTGACAAGGTCCAATATAGCAGCTAATTAACGTAAACTAATCCAACCAACAATACTATTTCATGCAGCAAACCTAGATATCTAGCTCAAGTAGCAAGAAGGTTATCTAGCCAAGTCGAATCTCGAGCAATCATTATGAGCATGAGGTCCTAGATGTGATTTTACTTCCAAGTGACTGAAGCATCACTATATTTTCTTGGGTTTCAAGACATGCAAATCGCCACAAAAGCTTCATTCATGCATGCATGCTTTAACTGACTCATGCCCACAGGGAACTGCATGCGTGAGAGAGAGGAAGGTCGACCTAATGTGTGGATTATTTAATTACCATCCTAGTAAAAGTAACTTTTGTACAATGTAAGTAAACACATGATCCGCAGAAAGACATATAAGGTTAAGAACATGGATGGCCTCCATTCTACATAAGAAAAACATTAAATATAGAACCAAAACCGAGATGACAAGCCTACCTTAGATAACTCGTTATCCATGTAACGAAAGCTTTGATTAAGGTCAGTTAGCCCAAGTAAATCGTCCACTTGCCATGGTTGAATGATTCCAGCCGTAGAACCCCCACCATATGACATTTTTTCCGGCACACTGTTCTCAACTCCAACAGTTGATGGAAGAACCTTGTTGTATTCGCTTGTAAATGCCATAGGAGCCCAGCTTTTAGACGTAGAATTGGATTTGGTTCCCGAGGTTTTTTCATTACAAGGTGATTTAACATTGGAAGAAGATCCAACATGGTCAGTTGATGTTTCAAGACCAACCTTTACTCCAGTAAGCACAAATCTTTGGTGACTAGAGACATAAGGATTTGCTGTATGTATAGTAATATCACTTTTTCTGCAGAGTAGAGCTCGATCTTGCAAACAAAAGAAAAACCCAGATGCTTCCTGTCAAAACAGTGATTGATTTTGTCAACATTAATTGATTGTTAGATATGTCAAAAACTAATATAATTATATAACAACATAAACACCATCATAATACGAGAAATTCATGAACAGAACACTATAATTATAGATATAATACCCTTAAATACAGTCATAAAATGAGAAAAGTTCATGAACAGTACATAAATGCACGAAACAGATACAATTGTTATTTTTAAGGAAGAAAATAGAAATCAATCCTAAATTATAGTCCCAAAAGCAACAATCGAAAAATCGAATTTTAGAACTCAAAACGGCCTCGGAGTATTTTCTCCCTAGAGATTGCGGTTTCGAGCAACATCTGTATTGTGTGTGTCCATTGTTCATGGTTAATAAGGATCATGAACATTAACTACCTTGTAATCACCTCTTAGTATTAAAATACAAATTGAATTTTAGCTCGTTCTTAGAATTTCATGAAAGTAAAGATCTTCAAATTCAAACGACGATAGGCTTCCCCCAATTTATTTTCTCGCTTCTCTCAGTATAAACCATAATTTCCCTTGGTAATTAAGCTAAATCAAATAAAGAAAATCGAATTCAATCCAAACTCCACCTTACCTCTCAGATAAAACTCTGGCCTTTAAAACAACTATAAGCATAAAGGGAAAAACATCCAGGGGAAATTAAAGTACCTGGCAAAAGTCACATTTAGGCATGTGAGAAGAAGAGAGGGGAACACGATGATGTTTGCTGGCCAACTTGTTCGCGGCGTGGACTTTCTCGTGGCACTCCAAACACAGCGCCGCCTCGTCGGAGCAGCACAGCACCTTCGCCTCCGCCACCTGGCACACGTTGCACTGTATCCTCATATTTCTATTTTTCTCTTCGTCTAATAAATTCCAAAATTTTCCAGATATATATTTCTTATTTGAAGAAATGGAGGGGTCTATTTCTGGTTTAAGGAAGCAGGAAAGTGAAGCCAGCTGAATTTGATTCTCTTAATTATTATTATTATTATTATTATTATAAAATTCTAGATTTATTTGAAGCAATGATTTGAGAATTGCCCACGTGGTAGATTCCAGATTCTATCTTTGACTCGGAAGACCAGACCGCTCTCTGCCTCGTCGGTTCCGACCGGTAAACAATATTTACTGCTTCATTTTAACTATTTTTTTGTTTGGTAAACTATACGAAAGTCCCCTTTGTTTTTAGTTTGACGGATTTTGGTCACCAATTTTAAAATTAAGGCTACATGGTCCATAAAGTTATTGATCCATTAGATTTTAGTCTCTAACGTTACCGATCCATTTGATTTTAGTCACTCAACCGTTAACTCTCATTCGATTTTAATCCCTCAGGTCGGTTAATCAAACTATACATATCGGATTTTCTATAGGTTTATCATGAGAGAAATCCTCTCAATTTAATTTACTTCATTCACAAACGTCAGAATTTGAAATCCTAACTTTACTTAAAGGATCTAATACTTTATCTCATTAAACTAATCGGTTGTTAATTCCATTTTAACTCATTTTATTAATATAATGACGTGGATAAAAATAAATGATGTTATATTAATTTAAAATACAATATATTTTTGAAGTAGTGTCGAAATATTATTTGATTGGTAGTAATTTAGGCTAAGCTATTACTTTTAACCCAAAGGTGATGTGTGAAATCGTGTTTTTGACAAGATTTAAAGAAAGATACTTAGATTATGGTAATATCAAATTTTGCAGATAATTGGTTCTTACAATTTTAATGGATAATTTTTTTTTATAGTTTGCTAAGTTTGGATAAGGTTGTTTAAGTTAGACTATTGAATAATTTGAGGTGTTTTGAATATTATTATTCCTGTTGGATAAAGTTTTTTTTATAGGAAAAATGACTTTAATATGTTATGGGGTAGTGGAGCATGCATTTATTTGTCAAGGGAGTGGTTATTTCAATGCCTTAGATAAAGATAGTGGGGTGCACATGGGTTCAAAGTGGGATTGGCATGCGGCTTCACAAGGCACAGTCTACGAATTGCTGATTGTGCCTAGTGTTGGGCTTTCGATCAAAGCCATTGACGAGAGTATTGGGGTTTTGGTTTCCAATATAGATGCCGATCATTGGCAGCCTAAGCCATCTTCCAACGGTCTAAGGCTTTTGGATAGTCCGAGTTCAGAGTTGTTATCAACAGTGGCAGAGGGGTCTTTGTCCAAGTCTCCTGTAAGGAATATTTCTGTTCATTCTAGTGAAAAGGTGCTGACCAATAGGATGAATAGGAAGCAGCAGAAATTTGGCTCGCTATTGGATATTCATGTTGAAAATTCAATATTAGCCTAAATAAGTTCACACCTAAATTAATTTGATGTCATTGCTTACATCAATTTAGTATTGATGTCATTGCTTACATCAATTTAGTTAGGTGAAAATTAAGTATTTTTCTCATGTTTTAATTTCAATGTTTTAGATTATTTAGTGATTATTTTAATGAGTGGTTTAATTGTTTCTTGTAACCTATAAATACCCTACTTGTATTTGAGTTTTATCATCCAACAATCAAAGCTTAATTATAAGCATTTGAAAGCTTTCTTAAGAGTTCTTCCATTTTGCAATTTTGTGAGATTATTCTAAAGAGAGTTTCTTCTTCTTCTTGATCAATTAGAGTTTTTACTCTATTTTGATTCAACAATTGGTATCAGAGCCATGTTTTTAAGGTCTCTTGAAATTCTAAGTATGCTCTGTGGCTGCAGTTTTTAACTGATCTTCCACATCAGAAAAGATTTCTTGAGATTATTGTCGGGGTTATTACAAACCTTGTGGAGCTTCTTTGTGTTTAGAGTAATTTAGTACTCTTCACGTTTGTTACTCAAGCTTGTTGGGTATAGTCAAAGTCTTGCCGTTAAGATGGGTGATCTTCAAGTAGTTGGAGGAATCAAGAAGCTCAACAACAAAAACTACAACACGTGGGCAACATGTATGGAGTCATACTTACAAGGTCAAGACCTTTGGGAGGTTATCGGTGGTGGTGAAGTTACACAACCGGCGGCAGAAGATGCCAATGACATCTTGCGAAAGTGGAAAATTAAAACAGGCAAAATAATGTTTGCTTTAAAGACCACAATTGAAGAAGAAATGTTGGAGCACATCCGGGATGCTAAAACACCAAATGAAGCATGAGACACTTTTGTTACACACTTTTCGAAGAGGAACGATACAAAATTGCAACTTCTCGAGAATGAACTTCTATCAATGGCGCAACGCGAAATGGCAGTTGCCTAATACTTTCATAAGGTGAAGTCGATATGTCGCGAAATTTTAGAATTAGATCTGACAGCTGCTATTGGGGAAGTCAGGATAAAAGTAATAATTGTCCATGGTTTGAGACCCAAATATCGAGAGTTTGTTGTCGCCGTACAGGGATGGCTGACACAACCATCGCTTGTTGAGTTTGAAAATTTGCTTGCAGGTCAAGAAGCCATGGCCAAGCAAATGGGAGGAGTCTCGCTGAAGGGTGAAGAGGAAGCGCTCTACACCAGTAAAAGTAGAGGCACTTTTCAGCGGTATACTGGCAGTGGATCTAAAAAGGATGGTGACAAGGTGAAAAATTACAAAGGAAAGGGAGGCCTTCATTCAGGGGGAGCTTCCAAGAATTGCGATAATAGTAGAAAGTTCGATGGCAAGTGTTACAACTGCGGGAAGATGGGCCACATGGCAAAAGACTGTTGGACCAAGAAAAATCCTATTGAAAGTAATACTGATACTTCCAGTTCGAAGGAGAATAGTGAAGATGGTTGGGATGCTGAAGCGTTATTTGCTATGGAGGAAGAAGAATTAGTTTTCACAGTAACAACACCAGAAAATATTAACTATGAGAATGATTGGATCGTAGACTCAGGCTACTCAAATCACATGATGGGAGATATACAGAAGTTGTAAAACTTTTCTCAGTATAAGAGAAAAGGAGTTTCCACATGCAAAGGCAAAGAGGGTCATGGTGGGAAACGGGAATTGAGTCTGGTGGGCTTGAGAGCATCGTCGGTGTCCAAACATGGGGATGCCATGATGAGTTCGCAAAAAATGCTTGAGGCGGTGAAAACACACTAGGAGGAGCTAGATCTCGAGGTAAAGAGGCTCGATGATGGAGCCAAAGGCATGTTTGAGCGAGACAGTACGTTCACTCATGAAGACAAGGAGAGTCTTGATGGGGAACAAGAAGAGGAACTGACAGTCTACGAGACATTGGCTTATTTGATGGAAGGTTTTGCTTTCTATGCAGAGAGGCTTATCAAGTTGGAACAGGTCTCAACTTTGTGGGAAAAGAGGGTCGGGAGACTTGAAAAAGCCGAGAATGAGGCCAAGGAGACCCAAGGTGTTGTGGAGTCCCGCCTTGATATATTGGAGTCCTTGGAGGACAGATTCAAGGACGAGACGCAACGAGTTCTTAACGAGTTAGAGACTGTTCGAGGGAGTAATGCCTAGGAAGCTGAGGTAGTGGCTATGAGAAACGAAATGGATGAGCTCAAGAGGGAGCTGCTCATATGCAAGGGAGCAATGAGTGAATAGGGTGCGCTCAAGACCTTCTTTGAAGGACTTAGACTAGGGGTGATGCTCGGGGGAGAGCAAGGTAATACCCAGAGACTTTCGGAGGCTATAGCTGTAGCCGAAAAGTTGTCTGAGCTTGCAGGTGACAAGCCAAGTAGCGATGTGTCGTCCAAGCCCATGCCCCGAGATAGTGGCAATATTAGGAGAGACCGGGAAAAGGTACAGCGGGGAATTGGTAGAGGAAGCTCTTCCAATGGCCAAGGTAAGCCATCGACTGTTCGTAGCCAAGGAAAGCCATCGGGAAAGAATGGCAAGGGTAAGTCCGGTTCGAAGAAGAAGGCAAGCAAGGAAAAGCTAAAGTGTTACTTCTGTGATGGTCCTCATTTGATTAGAGGATGTCCCGAGAAGCGTCACCTTATAACCATCTTGAAGAGGATTGGAAAAGGAGAAGTAGCGGGAATTGGTGCGGCTGCAAGTGTTAAAGCTGCCAAGCCAGGGAAAATACTTGGTCCAATTGAGGGTGTTAATGCAATCAAGCAAGGAACGAGACGAAGTAAGGCTTTTGATTTTGAGGCAGTCAAACCCAAAGAAAAGTTTGAACATTTCCGTCGTCAGTTTGGCATGATTCAAAGAATGAAGGCTAACATTGAGGGGGAGTGTTGAAAATTCAATATTAGCCTAAATAAGTTCACACCTAAATTAATTTGATGTCATTGCTTACATCAATTTAGTATTGATGTCATTGCTTACATTAATTTAGTTAGGTGAAAATTAAGTATTTTTCTCATGTTTTAATTTCATTGGTTTAGATTATTTAGTGATTATTTTAATGAGTGGTTTAGATTGTTTCTTGTAACCTATAAATACCCTACTTGTATTTGAGTTTTATCATCCAACAATCAAAGCTTAATTATAAGCATTTGAAAGCTTTCTTAAGAGTTCTTCCCTTTTGCAATTTTGTGAGATTATTCTAAAGAGAGTTTTTTTCTTCTTCTTGATCAATTAGAGTTTTTACTCTATTTTGATTCAATAATTCAGGACAAAGTTCTGTCGAAAGCTGAGAAATTAAAAAGAAATCGTACGCTGAAGAGATTCCACTTGCTCAAATCTGATCTAAATTCCTCTTAATTATCTGGTACATTTCTATCAGATTCGGATTTGAAGAAAAGGTGGCTTACTTTTGTTGATAAGGAGTATCAGTGCCTTTAAGTTTGGTGCGTGATTGTCGGGGATTGCGTGAAGTTTAAGGTTGCGTTCTAGGAGATTTTTCACTGAATTTAAGATCAATGGCTCCTAAAGGATTGTTTATGTTATAATGCGTGCTGGTTTGAAGATCGAGGAGGTCATGGTGTTATGCAGTGATCAACAGTTTTGGTGATTCTATTTCCAGCTTCTGTTTTCGGATTGTCCCCTGTGTTACTGTGTTCACCTGAATTTTGTTTTTTGATGTCCTTTTA